GGAACCAAAATTGTTCATTTTAAACCCTAAAATAGGGAGATTATCTTGGACTATCTGAATAGACACTATGTAATCAGAAAGATTCTTTAAAGCAGAAGCAGGAGGGCTGGCCCCGTGGCCGAGTGGTTAAGTTCGCTCGCTCTGCTGCAGGCGGCCCAGTGTTTCGTTGGTTCGAATCCTGGGCGCGGACATGGCACTGCTCATCAAACCACGCTGAGGCAGCGTCCCACATACCACAACTAGAAGAACCCACAACGAGAAATATACAACTATGTACCGGGGGGCTTTGGGGAGAAAAAGGAAAAAATAAAATCCTAAAAAAAAAAAAAAAAAAAAAAATTCTAACAACAACAACAAAAAAAAGCAGAAGCAGGAGGCAGAAGAAGGGTTCCGTCGGAGTGATTCAAAGTCAGAGAGACTGCATGGGCCGCGCCGGCTTTGAAAACGGTGGGGCCACAAGCCCAGGAGTGTGGGCTGCCTCTGGAAGCTGGAAAAGGCAAAGAAAGGATGCTCCCCAGAGCCTCCAGCAGGAAGCCTGGGGACGCTCTTGACTTGAGCCCAGTGAGACCCGTTCTGGACCTGACTGACAAAGCTGCACGAGGATAAATGTACACGGTTTCAATTTGTGTTAGCTCCTCACGGCAGCCTAGGAGATGACCACAAACAGGATCCAGCACTGCGCAGAAAAGGGGCCCAGAGCGGAGGAGTCCTTGTCCCGGGGCGCGGCCTCTGGAAGCAGGATCCGCGTGAGAGGCACAAACCTCTAGCTCGGGTCTGTTTTTCACTCGGTCCTGCCGCACGTCTACCTTTTTAATGCTGAGCCCCAGGTATCCCGAAAGGTAAATTATGTCCCCTGGAGAGATTATTCAGTTAACCGGAGGATGCGTGGTTTCTTTTTCTGGGTGAACCGGGCTCTCCCCTCAACTCGAAGGGCGAGGTTCCATGCGCCTCCCACAGTGGCAGAAGCTGTCCAGATGTGGGGGACCGGAGCCCTGGGGCTGCAGCCACAGCGGGGCTCAGGGGCCACAGGGGAGCAGGAGCCCAGGTACCCCCACCTCCACCCCCAC